TCAAACTGAAGGAGGATTGACCAAATATTTGCCTATATTTTTTTCTATTTCTGTTGGATTACATCAAGGATCGGTTTTAATCCCTTATCTTTTTGCTTTAGTTATGGATAGTCTTACTAGACATCTACAAGAGGATGTACATTGGTGTATGTCTTTTGCTGATGATATCCTTCTCGTGGATAAAACGAGAGAAAAAGCCTAGGAAAAACTTGAATTATGGTTATGGAGGTCTACATTGGAGTCTAAAGGCCTTCGTTTAAGTAGAACTAAAACTGAATACATGGAATGTAATTTTAGTAGTAATAGCTCTAGTGACAGAAGTGTGACTTTGGGTGATCAAATTATTAAAAAGTGTGAAGGATTTAGATATTTTGGGTCTGTTGTTCAAAACGATGGTGATATAGATGGGGATGTTAATAGTAGAATTCAAGTTGGTTGGTTGAAGTGGAGGAATGCTTCGGTCCTTTTGTGTGATAGAAAAGTACTGTTAAGACTGAAAGGAAAATTTTATAAGATGGTGGTGAGAACTGCTATGCTCTATGGCGCTGAATGTTGGCCTTTAAAAGAGAAAGATAATAATAAGTTAAGTGTTGCCGAGATGAGAATAATTAGGTGGATGAGTGGCTTTACACTTAGAGACAAAATACGAAATGAATATATTCGTGATAGTGTTGGTGTAGCTCCTCTGACGTACAAAATTAGAGAAAGTCGTCTTAGATGGTTTAGTCATATTAAACGTCGAACATTTGATGTTCTGATTAGGAGAATAGATGTTTTAGATTCGACTTGTGTTAAGAAAGGCTGAGGTAGACCTAGCAAAACTTGGGCTTGTTGTATTAAAAATGATCTTAATATACTAGAAATAAATGAAAATATGACACTAAATAGGACGCAGTGGTGAAAAAGGATTCATGTAGCCGACCCCATGTAGTGGGATTAAGGCTTTGTTGTTGTTGTTGTTGTTGTTGTTGTTACATATGAAAATGAATAAGAATTGAGTAGTGTTTGCAAATATATGATTATATAAAAATTAAATTTGATTTTTATTTCGCAAAATCATGCACAGCGAAGTGACCGAGTCGTGCCCCTATCGAAGTGGTAGGAATTGAGCCCAATGAAACGATCTTGTTTGTCAAAGGAGCTGATATAGCTTATTTAAAGTGTGACTGAAATATATCTCTGTGGAGGTAGCAATTCGTGAAAGTATCATAACCGGCCAAGACATCTGTCAATTTCTCACTTAAAAACCGACACTAGGGATTTTATCCCAACAACGGTCAAAGAGAAGTAAAAAATATGGACTTTGACATCCCACTTTGACAAATTTATATTATTTTTTATCTCTTATATAAAATGTCCAACAAGAGGAAAAAGAATGGATATCTATCTTTTCTTAAGGTCTTTCTTTGAGTTGTATATACTCAGAGACAATACAGGATCTTACGTCGTAAAGAAATATTCATGTAATAAACCTTCATTATTTTTTCGAGCTAATATATTACAGATTTGAGTGCTTACAAATGCATCTTCGTTCAATAAAAAGTTAAATGTGGTTATAGATTTAGAGGAATAATATAAGCATTTGCTAATAAATATGATTAAACAATTACTACTTCATTGCCCCTTGAATATCCGAGTGAGTTGACCAAATGCTAAATTGAATTGACATTAATACAACACTATTAATTATAATTCTTATTTGTACATCAAAAATAAACTTTCATAGGCCAAAGCATGCATCTGATCCTCATGGGCATAATTAGTCAAATTAGCCATAAGACACCACTGTCACCAAAGTGAGCCACTAAGATGACATGCGAACCATACTTATTGATATATCAGATGTCTTACACAGGTTGTTAAGTCGACGTCTCAGATTGATTTCGAGAATTGCCTCGTTGATCCCGTCTACATGTTCCTACCAACGAACTGACCAATCAGACTCACTAGCCCAACATCTTCAGCTATTCACAAAACTATTAGAATGCAAAAGTCGAGACTGATGCCAATGAGAGAGGGGGGAATGAATTGGACCTCTGCCCATTATATAATATAATGTGATTTTATGAGGATGGAACAATATAGAAAAACTAGCTTGATGATATCATATCATATGTGTTCAGATTAAAAAAAGTGACAAAAATTATTGATTTGACTGTAATTAGATATTATCATTGGTACATAATGAATAAAAATAATAATAACATTTTCATACGGTAACATAGTAGAGAAATCTGATAGCACTACAATTTTAAAGGGCTTCAATTATATGCGGGATGCTCTAATTATCATGTTACATATGTAGGAGAAACTAAGTTTTCAATTTACGGTTTTAGGGATAGTAATATAAAAATAATATTTTGTTAGAAAAGCTTATTTGAGATTTTAATGTGTGCGATATGTAAATACATAAGAATTGTGTCTTAGTATGTAAATTTCCATTAATTTTATTGAACACAATATAAATGTGCTGTAAAAGTAAATGATAAATATGTGGGTTTCTTTTGTCTTTTATAGAAGATTCAACGGATAAAATAAGAAAAAGGTTCATGTATGATAGGACTCGCATCCCTTGTCTCAACTCATATGTAACCCTCTAAATTATACGAAGTGAATAACTATAAAATAATCAAAGAATATATTCCACATCGTACTCCACCCTTTTATAGGTGTCTTGATGAAAAAATTATGATGTGGGCGTCACACAGTATTGGTACTACACCCATCTTTGATGTACGGGAAAAAAATTTGAGTCTCAAATGTCAAACGATGCTTTTACAAATGATTTTTTTCTTATATCTTAGCACCACCACGATTTCCTTTCACAATTATTAATTCCAGAAGACCACAAGAGAAGAGCTTGACCATATCCTAATTTTCTACTGTTTTACTATATAATATTTACGACTATGTATTGAATTGGGGTAATGAGACATTGCTTAATATATGGTATTCCTCTCTGATTTCTTTATTGACATCTCAATCTTGCTCAGCTTTCAGCTTTTACTAATGATATGTTAAATATCTTTTGTAACTAGTTATGATGATCTTCTCTGATAGTTGAATACCTGCAAGTAGGTTAGGCCAACCCATCGAGAATAATGGATAAAATCACTTCGACGGATGGGATAAATTCAATAAAACAATGAAATAAATTTCTGCATAATCATATCTATGTGTGTTGATATATAATTGTTAAGTGGTAAGTACATAAATATACCTAATTTTGAAATATATAATGATATTTTAAACATTGCATTTCGCAATTTAAATATTAAGAATGACACGTGATAGAAGCATTATACAAACAAACGCACTTGCTAATAATGTACTTTTCTCGGAAATAGTCGTAAGAACAGCTTAAAATATTTCATCTTTTTTTAATTTTTAAATGTTAGTATCTTATATATATATAATCAGTTAATATTTACCTTTTGATCATCTCAAAGAAATCGAATAATTTTAAGCATAATTTCCATTTTTTCTCTCTCAATTATTGTGCCTTCTCCTAACAAAGCCAAAAATAATTGTAATTTAATGTGTAATGCTTATGGTAAATAAGTTACCATCAATAAAATTAATAGGCAAGACATTATATGATTATTGAAATATACATCAAATTCCTTTTTGAGTTTTTTTTTTTTTCAATACAAAATAAACACTCAAATTCTATTGTTAATGAGACGAACTCTTGATGAACAACTTAAACTCGATTTGATTAAGGTTCGATTATGTTCGTTCAAATTAGTAAAATAATAAGCTTGAACAATTTTTAA